GTGTGTGTGTGTGTGTGTGTGTGTGTGTGTTACTAAGAATCAAACCTGGGGCCTTCACTCTAAGCTACGTCTCCAGCTCTTTTTTATATTTGAAAGAGGGACTTGCTAAGTTGCTCAGGCTGGGCTTGAACTTGTAATCCTCCTGCTTCAGCCTCCCAGAGTACTGGGAATACAAGCATACACCTTGTCTGTCTTGGAAGTCTAACATCATTCATTCTTTCAGTGACTATTTGTGGAGCACTTGCTATGTGCTAGACATTGACCCAGACCTGGAGATGCTACACAGGATAATAGAAAGAAAACAAGAAAGTCCTATTCTTGCAGAGCTTACATTCTACAGGAAGAAAAAGACAACAAATTAACAGAAATAAACATAGACAAAGTATCAGCAGGTAATAATTGCTATGGAGAAAAATGAATGTGTAGGTGGGGCTAGGGACAGATAGCATAGGACCCTAGTGGCCAGACTAAGACATTTGGCTCCTGTGGGGAAGGCAGGAACGTCTGGAGGTTTGCATAGAACAAGCAGTGTCTTGACTGTGCTTTATCAGGGTCTCTGGCTGCTGTGTGGTTGGGAACTTGAGAATGAGCTGGGTGGAAATGGGTGGCCAGAGGAGGAGGCTCTGTGAGGCCCTAAGCTCGGATGTGGAGCCAGGGCCACAGTGAGCACAGCTAATTCTAGATTTACTTTGAAGGCAGAACCAATGGGATTTGCCAACAGGTTGGATGTGGATTGAAAGAGTTGAGGATGACATCAGGGTTCTGAGCCTGAGTAACCAGAAGGGTGGTTACCATTTACTGAAACAGGGGAGACAGGCTGGGGTCAGGGAGAACTTTGTGCATAGCTGGTGGCCTGAGGTTGGGATGAGAGGTTCAGGCTGCAGATGGGTCTGGAGAGCAGTCGGGGTCTGGTCCCCTGCAGAGCCAGAGACGGAGATTTGTGTGCACATTGCTGATTATGTAGGTGCTCACAGGAGAAACCTGCAATGTCTTCTCTGTCATTGTGGGCTGCGAGGATTCTCCTGAGGGAAAGGGACCTGTGAAGGAGGGACTTCAGTTAGAGCGGTTCTCTGGGAAAGAGGGCTGTGGGCCCCCAGTAGCCGACATGTTCAGTTGGACTGGGGCTAGAGGTCACGGGTCTGGAATGGGCACTCACTGCCATGTCTTCAGCAAGTCGAAGGCACTTGAAGCCAGGAGGCTGCATGGGGCCACGTAGATTATGTGTATTTATTCACTGAAAAAAGGAGCAACCAAGGACTGAGCCTGGGGGTGCTCTAGGAAATGAGAGATCAGCCAAAGAAACTTACATTCTTTGGGGGAGGGAAAGATGGGGGTATGTGGGGTTCAGTGCACTGAGTACTTCTTTGGGAGGGAGATTATTAGGGATTGAACCCAGAGCCCTGAGCTACCTGCCCTTTGAAATTTTTTTTTTAATTAATTGTATTTTGAGACTGGGTCTCACCAAGTCACAAAATTGCCCAGGGTGGGCTCCAAATTGCAACCCTCTTATCTTAGCTTCCCAGAGCACTAGGATTCTGGTTGTGCTCCATCACACTCACCTAGCTGAGCTTTCTTTGTTGGAACTTATTTCCCCCTTCCAATAAGCCACTTGTCTAGTTGGGACTGTCCTAGACTAGAGGCTGGCACAGCTTTTGGGAGACAGGCTGTTTCTACAGTGCTGGCATAGAACGATTTGGGTCTTTGTACCGTGGTGGTTCCTTGGGGATGGGAAACACACCTGTGCTTTTCAGGCTTCTGCTTTTCCCCCAGGACATGATTCCAACCTATGGGAACTTGGGGGCATCCTCCCATTTCTCCTCCACTGACTGTCCTCCCTTGCCCCTTAGCCACCTTAGAGCACCTCCTCTTTCACCTGCACGAGAATCCCATAGCAGGTTCTTCTAGGTGCCCAACCCAAGACAATGACCCTCCCACTTCTGTCTTTGGCTGTAGCAGTCCAGGACACCAGACTGTACTCTCAGAACTATTCGGCCAAGGTGTGGGCGCACTTGTGGCCACAGCACCCTTCCAGTGGGGATGCCAGTGACAAGTTGGCTTTTATGTGGCCTCTTACTGGGGGAGATGGCGATTACCCACAAGATGCTGGGTTCTCATTCCCTCTGCACCCCACCGGTGCTCTACTCCACCAGAGAAAATTTCTCTGAAGTCAGTGGGGAAGAGGGTTGCAGGGCAGGACTGTAATGGAGTGGGAGATCCAGGGAGTGGAGTGGTGCAGATGGCAGATCTAACAGCTGCTTACCTCACCATATAGCTCCTGGCTGCAGGGGACAGAAAAGGAGATGTCCCCAGGGACCCAGTCCAGTTGGGAGCTCCTGCTTGCTCTTCTGTGTGCTCTGCACAGCTACTATTGAGTTCTCTTCCCAGGAGCCTGGGATGACCTTTCTGTAAATGACTTCCCAGGCAGGGGCTGAGTTGTTGTGTGTGTGTTGCTCTCTGAAGTTGGCCTCCTTTCACTGGGGTAAGGCACTAGCAGTGTCCCCTGAGGAAGACACCCTGGTGACAGTATGGTCAACATTAGCAGTACTGTGCTTTAGGCTGTGGAGTTATTAATTTTTTTTTTTAATTTCAAAGGAAATCAAACCAACCTTTGGAAAATAGAAGTAGCCTGCTCCCTCAAAACCTACTGTGAAGCCCCATTGTGAGGCTGCACTCAATGACCTCAGGCCAACACCTCCCTGAGCGTATTTCTTGGAAGAGCCTGGAAGAGTTCTGGACCAAGAACCCATAGGTTCAGCATCAGTTTGGCCTGTCCTTTGAAAAAGCAAACACATCTGCAAGCTTTGTAGGAGTTGCCAGGTTGACTCTTCAGATGCCACACTTGTCCTGCGCCCCACCAGCATGGAGCACAGTGGTTACCCTGTTTGGTTTCCTGGGGCTCATCCCAGGGAGACAACCACCACGGCAGGCATCTGTCCAGCCCCAGGGCCACTCGCAGTCCATGCAGGAGGCACCCACTGTGCAGGGTCTGAAGGCCAACCCTGGGCCACTGCTCAGACCTCACAGGAGAGGCAAGAGCTGAGGGAGTTGGTGCATGCACATAGTTATGGACGACGAAGGGACTGACAGGTAGCACGGGTCAACATACTCATGGCACAAATAGCTCCGAGTTTTGAGATGTCCTAATGGCTGCCACGAAGCTACTGGGCTCAGCCCTGGGGTCCAGAAGGAAAGTCACTGAGAACGGTGACCACAGTGGCCACCGTAGGAAGGAAATGTGTGTGCTCTTAGGAGTTCTTATTAAAGGAATTTTAAGAGCACAGAAATTTTATTGAACCCAACTGAGTGGCAAACAGAAAATGATTTGTTAGATTGTCAATGGGAAACAGTTTATTAGTACTGCTGGTGGAATAAACAGTGGCTGGCCTCTGCCAACATGTATGGTAATAACGTTTTTAAGTTTTAAATGTGAGCTGTAAACCGAAGCTACTTCAGGTTTTTTGTTTGTTTGTTTGTTTAATTCAATACTTAAACTGTGGGAAAAAGATGGATCAGTGCCAGAGAAAACATTCTCATTTAATAGTGTTTGAACATGGAACTGCAACACAGTTTGTAGCGAGGTACTGAGAGAAAACCACAACTAATCCTTCATCGCAGCTGTCTGAACTCTTGATCATCTGCCATCCCCCAAACAGCGACCTCTTTTTTCTGGTGACTCCTGGCTTGAATGACCCAGTGTGGAGAGTTTAAGCTATGTACGAGGGGGGTGGGGGGACGAGAGAGGAGCTTCAGCCAAAGAGTTTTTTGCATCCATCTTCCTGTGCCTGCAGCCAGGGGCAAGACCAGTCCCCACGCCTGTCCCTGTGGCATCTTCCAGCAAGGGATGACACCACAGCTCTGCCTGGACCCAGTCCATCCCCACAAAGGAGTCAGGAGCAGTGATGGTTGCAGAGAGAGTGCCCGTCTCTCCTGTCTCTCCAGGGCAGGCATAGCAGTGAACAATGTCCTCTGACAAATGCTGTATCTGACTTGGCTGTTTGCTGAATGAATGTTCTGGCTCAATATCCTCTTTAATCTGGTAGGTAAGATACTGGTGCTACATTTTACCAGAATAGGAAGGAACTGAACAAAGTGACCAATGCATCCCAGACTTTTATCACTTAGGTTGGCAGGCAGTGGGACAAACTATAAATGTTCTTCTTGATGTCCTTTTTCACCTCTCTTCCTTAATGTGCAATCTCATTTTTTTTTTCTTTCTTTTTTTGGTACTGAGAATCAAACTCAGGGCCTTGTGCTTGCCAGGCAGGCGCTGTGCCTCTGAGCTACATCCTCGGCCCAGCAATCTCATTGTAGGAAATTAGAACTTGGAAAATATAGTTGAAAACAGAAACATTTTTAAAAGTCTGTGTTTTATTTTGCTTATTCACCACTGTGTTCTTTTCTGTCTACTGGATGAGACCGTCTTAGCCACACCCAGTCATTTCAGGACACGTTAGAATGAGCTCTCTTTTCTCGAGTCTGTGAAATTTCTGACGTCCACCAAACAAGCAGAAGTCTTATCCTAAAGACTCCTCGATCTCATGAAGCAGAGGTGTTCCTCCCTAGCCCTCAGCTGGACAAGGTCTGGGGAAGCAGTACAGGCTCCTGCTGGGAAGATTTGCTTTGGGGATCCCACAAGGAAAAACGTCCAGATTTGGGATCCTAGTAGGAAAAACATCTGGACTCTGTTTCAAACAAGGATCCAAAGCATCTTCAGGCATGACTACCAACAACGGCCCCATGCATGTTGGTAAAGGACAAACAAGGAAAAAGAGAGGAGGAGGCCAATGGAAAGAGTGAGGAGCCATCCCTCACAAAGATGGAGAGGTCCGCCTTACAGAGTTTGAACATCAGTTCTTTGAAGATGATGTGGAGATCATGGGGATTTTTTTGGGGGGGGTTCCGGGGATTGAACTCAGGTCCTTGCACTTGCAAAGCGGGCACTGGAACCACTGAGCTAAGTCCCCAGCCCACAGGGATTTTGTTGATGTAAGCCCAGGACGCAAAGGACACAGTAAGAGTTCGGACTAAGGAGGAATGGAGATGTAGGGAGTAAGAGTTGGAGTGTTGATTATGTCCTACATCCAGATCTCTTGAAGCAAGGCCTTGTGCAAGTGATGAACTGCTCTCAAAAGAAAGGGTGAGAAGCCAGGTGTGATGGTATGTTCCTATAATCCCCACATTGGGAGGCTGACTCAGGAGGGAGCCCAGCCTGAGGCAAACTACAAACACAGTGACAATCCTGTCTCAAAGTTGTTTCCTTTCTTTCTCCCCCTAAAGGCTGGGTCTGGACCACAGTACAAAGGGTGGGGGTAGACCATGAAAAAAAAAAAGGAGGGAGTTTCTGGGACTGTTGCTCATTGATACAACACTTGCCTACTGGGTTTGATCCCCAGTATCACCAACACAAAAAGGAGGGGAAGAAAGCAGCAAGTAAAGGTATATTCTCAGGGGTTGGGGATGTAGCTCAGGGGCGCCGCACCTGCTTGGGCAAGCACGAGATCCTGAGTTGAATCTCTGGTGCCTAAATAAATAAATAAATAAAAATGTGTTCTCAGTTGGACCAGCTTCAACCTGATCTCATAGGACCTCTGGAGCTGAGAGTTTGAGGCAAGGAGGCTGGGTTTTTATATCCCCATGGCAACTAGTTTAGCAGGGTACAGATGGGTGGCACTTGCTGGGTGAAGGCAGTTCTCTGTGTGAGCAGGGTACACAAGTGCTTAGGAGCATTTTAGCAGCTGACTCGCAGGGCAGTTGGGAAATGGGTTCACCTGCCTAGTGAAGGAGACTTCAGAGGGCTATCAACAGGGCCCACAATGGGGGAGGCTTAGGAGCCTGGACCCCTGGTGATCGCAGAGGTACAAAGGACACGAGAGGAAGACTACTGATGTCCTAGAGCTGGACTGGTATTTCAGTACCCACCCCTTCCACTCTTCCCTGTGTTCTGGGAGCCTGATCTCTATGGTCTATCTGCCTTGGCTGCATCCTTTGTCCTCTGACTTCTTGTTGTCTAGGGGACCAGCCTACAAAAGATCACAGAGAAGGGGTCTGGGTCTTTTAAAACCTGTTCCTTCCAGGCCACAGATAGACCATGGCTGTATTTGTGGTCCCCCAGTGTCTTTCCTGTTGCTGAAGCTCTCACTGGGTCTCCTCCTAGCTCTCCACCATCCCTTAGTGATGTGCATAGCCCTGCCCACATCTGTGTGAATACTTTCTCCACTTTAATTGTCCTTTGGGTATCAAGTCAGTTAAGAAGAGGAAGGTAATCAGTTTTGGTCTCTTAGACTGGTGCTCCTCAAAACTTCTCATGCACTCCCATCATCCGGGCATCTTGTTCAATGCAAGTTCCTGATGTAGCAGGTTCAGGGCTGGGCCTATGGGGAGCATCTGTGCTGCTGGTACAGGAATCACACTTGGAATATCCAGTTGCTTCTCTGTGGTTGGGGTAAGGAAGAGGGAGGGAAGAGGGTCAGGAGCTCTGCAGACCTCTGAAATCCTGCTGCAGGAGGTATCATGGCTGAGAGGTTTATAGAGACTAGAATTAAATGTAACAAGTATTAAGACATTATTTTCAAGATTCTACAGATACTAGAGAATCATGGTGCAGTAACTAAAAAATCAGATATATTCAGCAATATTTGGGGAAATATTTATTTTAAATATTTCAGAAGCTTTGTGTTAATGAAACCCTTCTCCCCACAGTTTTCATGAGCATTAAACCTTTACCAGTCTCCAAATGTGTATAATGATATATAATTTAGATTTATGGTGTTTTAATCATTCCCTTTTGACATGCATTTTTAGATCCTGTAACATTCATTAGTACAACACAAAATCAATAAAAACTTGAAAACTGGGCTGGGATTTAGCTCAGCGGTTCGGTGGCCTGCCTCGCAAACGCAAGGACCTGAGTTCGATCCTCGATACCACAAAAAAAAAAAAAAAACAAAAAAACTTAAAAACTGGCGTGTCAGGTTTACTTTTCAGTCCAGGTCTATAACAATACATTTGTACGTATTAATACTTTGTAATAAATTCATTAATACATTTGTATTGATATTGCCTGTTTATGTTTTGGTATAAACTCAATTTTCTGGGTTATTACATAATAGTCACTAACAATCCTAAAGTTGAGACAAGTTATTTTATATAGTTGAGATAGAAGAGTTATCTTGCAATAGATTCAACTCTAATTTTAAAATATGTACAGTGTCTGGCTCGTATTCTGTTCTGTTCTGAAGCTTTGGTGCTTGCAGAAAGCATTTCATTCCTACTGTTCGAGATTTCATCTGATGCACAGTATTCCAGTTGGTAACTCAGGCCTGTGTGTTACCCAGTTATGGGAATTAAGATCTGACTATGCTGTACTATCTTACAGCTACTTAGCCTATTAGTTTTCCAAAGCTTGCACTGAAAAGAGGTGTCAAAGGAGAAAACATGCTACAAGAATTCTTTTCCCCTTTAGGTGGAACACCACCAATTTTCCAATTATATATATTTTAAAAATTCGTGATTTCTCTCATACCACACAAAAACTAATTAGACTCCTATGGTGTCTCAAAAGAAATGTATTGTCTTCATCAATTTTACCACTGAAAACTATTTGGTTAGAAAATAATTTCTGATTTATATTGGGAAAATATGTCATGTTTCTGGATCATCACATGAGAGATGAAGGTGGTATTTTGGCAGCTTCGAACAGTTCCTCGGGTGCAAGTGGCAAAGCCTGATTTTCATGCAAGACAGACCATCGGTGTCACCATGTCCTGTGCCTCCAGGGCTTCAGCTGGCCTCAAAGTTTACAATTTAGGATATAAGCCAATGGGTCTCCAATTTGAGTTCACATCAGACTAACCTAGAGGACTTATTTAAAACAGAGCACTGGGTGCCACCCAAGGGGTGCTGTTTCCTGAGTCTGAGGTGGGACTGGAGAATCTGCATCTCTAGTTCCTAGGTGATGGTGATGTTTATGGTCCACGGACCACTCTTTGAGAACCACTGTCATAGGCAATACTGAGCCACTATCAGATGAGCTATGTGCCAGGAAGTGGATTACTCAAAGGCCGGGATGGACTCTTCCCTATGAGTAAAAAATAGATCAACACAGATCATTTCACTCTCCCTTTTTAAATTCCTCTTCTCTATCAAGTAGGTGCCACTACTTGATATTCTTGGGTCTTCTTCAAACACTTTTTTCCTCCATGTCATTCTCTTTTACTAGAGTTTGGAGAAATGGTTAATCCTGAGAGAGGAACCTAAGGATTGAGTTTTGTTAGTCTTGGCATAAATTGCAAGACATTTTTAAGCACAGACTAGTCAAAGACAGCTACAGGAAATGGTCCTTACTGGTACAAAGCTCACCTTGTTTTTAAAAAACGATGGGCAGTCCCACAGAAATAGACACAGTGGAGGTGGGTGTGTGTCTTCACTCCTTACCTTCCCAAAGCAAAACGTCAGCCTTAAATTTTCTCCAATTCCAACCAACAATTACAAAGACATCTCCAGGTTTCTAGACTGAGTCCTAGCTCTTGGTTCATTTGCCCTCAGTGACATCATAATTTAAAAAGCAAATAACCCATCATTCTTCTGTGTCCCACTCCCACAGTTAATATTTATGCTCTCAACAACATGCTTTCAAATGCTCAGTTTATCAAACCTAGTTCAAACATTTCAGGGCATGGAGTCAGAGTCAGTGATTTTCTTTCTTAAAAAAGGAAAAGAAGGCAAGAGCTTGATAAAGGAAACAAGACCTTATGTTGGAATTAGGGCTCAAGCACAGGTCTGGGATTAGTGCAATCAATTCCAGGGCAGATGGGGAGAAGACACTGGCACGTGCTGATGCCACTGAAACCTTTCTGTCCCACCAGATGCCTGTAGAGACTTCTCAACCTACAGAATACAGAGCTGAGGAGAAACCAGCCCTGTTCCACCCGTGCTCTTGTGAGTTATCAGTGTTTGTCAGTGTGATGTGTCACAGTGCATTTTCCTCTTGGTGTTTGAGAGAGCCCATCGTGATGGTGACTAGACCTTTTCCATCTCAATCTGCTGGTGGTAGTGCCGAGCTTGCCGCTGGCCGACATTCAGCTTGTACACAGAACTCTTGTGCTGGCACCTGCGGTAACCCCACACGGCCCCCACACTTGCCAGGAGCAGCAGCAGGCACAGGACGGTGACAATGGTGGCGATCACCGGGCCTCTGCTGAGGCTGGGACACTCATCCCCAACACATGGCTCCAAGGTTGGACGGAGCTCCTTCTCACTCGCGACTGGCCCAGTGCCCTCCTGTCCCAAGAAGTCCTCAGACAGCAGGTATGGGAAGCTATCCTGGACCTCAGGAGCAGAGGTTTCCACTGGAAATTGGGTGGCGGCCATGCTAGTTGAGGGGATGTGGTCAGGCATCTGCTGGACAGGAGTTGTTGTTTCTGTCTCCAGGGTAGAGGTGGTACGTTCATAGAGTGGAGTGGCCATGCCAGACTTTTCTGCGGTGAATTCCCAAGGTACAGTTGACTGGTATTTGGTCAAGGGACCATCCCTGTCACGGGCACCTTTGGTCTCAGACACATTCGTGGGTGTGAGAGCCAACGCCTCTACATCCAGCACTTCAGATGCAAGAATTGAACTGTGGGTCATGTCCTTGCTTGGTGCGTGGGTGGTACTTCTGGGCACCTTAACTTCCACAAGAGCTGGCTGATCAGGAGTCACAAGCGCACTTTCATCCAGTCCTATTGACCCAGGCCCCTTGTCCCCATCGTCCTCCTCTTCTGCTTCTACTTTCCTCCAAGCCCCGTCTGTCACAGGGTAGCCATCTAACCAGGACTCATCACTGCTGCTCACCACCAGGTCCCCTACCCTGCTGTCGTTCCTATCCACAGATGACCCCAAGGGGCCATCGGTGCTGCCATAGGTCACCCTAGTTTCCGGCTCACTTGGGACCAGTTTCACCGTACTGTGGTTGTCTCCAGCAGGAAACTGCTTTTTGGTATCATCATCAACATCCCTTTCCAAATCAGGCTTGTGGAAAGTCTCAGCTGGAAACCAGAATGAGTACTTTTGGTTTACTTGGGATTTTGGCAAGTTTGTGGGGACACTGCTCCTGGTGCCAGGCAAGCCTGTGTTTGGCACAAAAGCTTTGTGCCGGGCGATATTTTCTTTGCTCACAGAAATGGAGACCAGATGGTCTTGTTTTGGTGCCTCCTCAGAGGCTTCTCTCTCACTTTTGTCCTCTTCTGCCTCTGAATGGGAGTCTTCCATGAGCTCTCGGAATGACACAGACCTGTCATCGGGGAAGTTATCCTCATAGTCAATATGGGCCTCCGCCTCATCTAAAAGGAAGGGGGAAAAACCTCATTAGGTCCAAAGGCACAGAGTCAGCACAGAGCCACTATCATCTATGAATCATAGATAATCCAAAGAATGTACATATAAATCATTGCAATTAATACGTGAGTTTATCAAGGACACTGGGTCCACATTAAACATAAACATCAACTATATTTCTACATACTAGAAATAATCAGAAAGCAAAACATTTAAAGGATGCTGTTTATAAAAGCATAAAAATTTTAAACACCTAGCTGGGCATGGCAGTGCACACCTGTGATCCCAGCACTTAGGAGGCTGAAGCAGGAGCACTGCTGCAAGTTCAATGCCAGCCTGGGCTACATAGTGAGTTTACAGCCAGCCTGAACTATAGAGTGAGACCCCGTCCCAAAGAAACTTAAAAAAAAAATCAAATACCTAAAGTTTAACAAAGAGCTTGTGAGACTCTTCCGTAGAATGGTACAAAATATTGAAGAGCAAAATTAAAGACCTAACTGAGTAAATGAAGAAACATACCATAATCATGTAATGGAGGGCTCAAATTTTTCAGTTCTATCCCACATGATCAGTATACAGTGGACCCTTGACTTACAAACTTAATTTGTTCCCAAGGGCTAAGTGTAACTCAAGTTGGTCAACTGTCTTCAGTCTCTCTCCTGTATAATTTTAGGCCACATTTTCTTCTAGGCAGATCTTAGGGTCCTTAGAGAGACACTGGCCCAGGATTTCTCAATTAACCCTTTAAGGGTTAAATATGTTTCTGAGATTCTCTGGAAGCACAAGCACTGGCATCTGGAATGTAAGACTTTGGTCGAAAGTTAAAACTAAAATCCGGTGGTAATCCAAGTTGAGTTCATATGTCAGGCTGGTAGTAACTCGAGGGTCCACTGTAAGTTTATTTTTTCATGCAGTACAGGGAACTGAACCAGGGTCTTTGCACTGACCTACATCCCAGCTCTTTTTTTATTTTTAATTTTGAGACAAGGTCTGGCTAAGTCGTTCAGGTAAGGCTCAAACTTGCAATCCTCCTGCCTCAGTCTCCCAAGTGCTGGGATTACAGATGTTTACCACTGTGTCTGGCTGATCCATTTAGATTTAAGAGTTCTAAATAAAAATTTCAATTAGCAAGCTGATGCTAACATTTTTAGAAATGCAATAGGCTAAGGCTATACAAAGTAATCTTAAGAAAAACTTGAAGGAACACACTATAAAATTTCATAAAACTAGATTACATTTTAAGGTTGTGGTACTGGTACAAGGATAGATAGCTGGGCTGTATAAAAATCACAAGTTCTGTCTATCAAAAGCCACCATAAAAAACAGGCACAGAATTGGAAGAGATACTAGCAATACATATAATCTACAAAGGCTGGTATCCAGAATTTTAAATATATCCTGAAAATCAATACTAAATAGACAAAGCCCAGATAAGATGGTAAGATGTTTGAATTGGCACAGAACAACAACAACAAAAAAAATCTAAATGGTCATTAAACACATAAAAATGTGCAACCTAATACAAGAGAAATGCTAATTATAGTCATAATGAAATACCACTGTATAGCACCATAATGACTAAAACTAAAAAGACCGACACTATCAAGTATTAACAAGGACATGGAATATTGTTAGTGGGAGTATGAACTGGTAAAACTGCTATAGAAAACTGGGCATTTCTACTAAAACTGAACATATAAGTGCCCATGACATAGCAATTCTACTCTTAAATACACACACGTATCTTTTTTTTTTTTTTTTTTGGTACTGGGGATCAAACTTGGGTCCTTGTGCTTGTGAGGAAGACGATGGAACCACTGAGCTAAATCCCCAGCCCTCACATACATCTTAAGTGCACAAGAGCACCAAGGTTCATGTACAAAAATATTCATAATAACCACATGGAAACCACTTAAATAACCATTAACTGCAGAACTGATATATAAATTATAGTTCAATGCAAACCAAAAAAAATTAAACAATTATGGCTTCTCACAACATGGCTGAATTTCATGGCCAGAATGTTGAGCAAAAGAAGCAAGGCACAAATGTATAGGTTCTGTGTGATTTACTTACATAAAATTTAAAACCAGGCAGAACTAGTCTGTGTTATTCAAAGTTGGGATTGTGGCTATGCTTAGGCAAGAAAAAAGGAGGGAGAACTTGGTCTGAGCACAAGCAGGGCTTTGGGGGTGCTAGCTACATTTTTCTTTGTGACCTGTATAATGATCAAATTTCTCTGTCTTTGATAATCCATTGATCTGTTGCCTTATGATTTGTATGCTATAATTAAATGAACACATCTTTGAAAACACAGATATGTTCTTTGTAACACTTCTGAGTGAGACTATGCTGTGAAGTATTCTGAATCCAACTGAATAAGGACAAAGAGATGCCTTACATTTTGGAGACCAGAATAAGGACACTTTGATGCAACAGGATCACATGGGTCAGGAATGCTCCAGAAACTGGTGTCCTCAGAAAAGAGTAGCCCTTGGGGCTTTCCTTTCTCTCAATGGTCTTTGAAAACAAACTTTAGTATTCAAACAGAAAGGTTTCCCCACTTCAGCTTTAAACTTCAAAACAACAAAATGCAAAGTGCTTTTTCATATGGTATTTTTCTGGGCCGTGACACTAGATTCATGGGTATCTGGCTCATTATTTCTAAAGACTCTCAGAGAATAAGCTTCCTTATCTTGCTTATTTGATAACTTACGGCTTTAAAAATTCCTTCTGATAGCCGGATGTGGTGTCGCACACCTGTAATTCCAGCACTAGGGAGGCTGAGGCAGGAGGATCGCTGTGAGTTTGAGACCAGCCTGGGCTACATAGTGAGTTCCAGGTCAGCCTCAACTACATAGTGAGAACCTGTCTCAAAAAAACCAAAAAACAACCCCCCAAAATTTTTTCTGATAAAGTTTGAGCCCATTCACTTTACTTGTGTCCTCACCTCTTCTATGTTTAATAGAAGCCAGCCAATAAAGAGCAAACATTGCTGATAAGTGTCAAATGCGTGTCTGATTTATGCTTAGAAAAGGACAGGCTCATGAAGTCCTATTCACAAATCCCTAGTCAGAAACTGTATCAGATGGCTGGACCATTCGATTAGCCTTGTAGAATTCCAATACGGGCTCCGAGGGCTACCTCTCTGCACACTGCCCCTTAACGCATCATTCCAAGCATGGCACTGCCTCTGGCTTCACTCAACCATCTTTATCAAATGATGGCCCTGAGTCTAGCACTGTGTTAGAGCTTCAGATCACTGGGGACAGGACCCAGGCTCTCTGCCTCCATGGTGCATGGGACTTTGAATCTCACAGTCCTGCAGCCTAACAAGTTGATTCCAGAGCTTTTCTGTGCACAGAGTCTCACCCATCATTCTCAATAATAATTAGGCTTAAGCATTTAAATACCATCCCTCATTAATCCAAATAAAAACTAGGTAATAGGAAATAGGGAAATAGATTGTTTTTTTTTTTTTTTTTTTTTTTTTTTTAAAAAAAAACTAGGTAAAAGGAAATAGGGAAATAGATTGTTTTTTTTTTTTTTTTTGCAAAAGAGAAGGGGACCAAGAAATAGATGAAAAAAAATTGACATGTGTTATGTACGTGTACCAACTCCCCACAAAGAATATAAATATTATGTACTGCAAACATGTTCCAATAAAATAAAAAAAATTAAAACGTGGCAAGAATGATGGGATAAACATGTTTGAAACAAGGGGGAGTATTTTGAGGGAGATTAATAGCAATATGTCATTTACTGAAGTAAATTGTTTAAAAAATTTTTTTGAGACAGTCTTGCTATGTAGAGCAGGCTGGCCTTGAACTCACTGTATAGCCTTGCCTGGCCTTGAACTCATAGAGATCCTCCTGCCTCAATCTCTCAAGTGCTGGGATTACAAGTACATGCCACCATACTAGGCAATAAATTGTTTTTAAACTTACATATTTAGCACATTTTCAATTACATTTTATATGCATCTATTTTATGCACTATAATAATATATACTTATATATTATTTATGCACTATAATATATATATTTAGAATATATATTTATGCAACCCTCCCTAACCATACACACAGTAATATTATACCAACTGTATATAAATAAAACTACATATAATATTTTATTTCAGTCTCTGAGGTAGAGAAATACAAGGTTCTTATAGATGGAGAAATGGGACCTCAGTCATCCTTGGATAACAGGATCTGTGTTCTCTATTCACCTCTGTATTCCTAGGATCAACAAACTTCCTCACAGTCATTAAATGGTTTTTGAGTGAAAAAAAAATACCATGCTTCTTTAAAACACAAAATGAAACAAAGGCCGCTATGACAAGTTTCTCCAAAATTTATGCAAACATAGACAAATCAAACTGCACCCTTGTGATGGTTTAAGAACACCATGAGTTAACTCTTCAACCTCAGGATGAGGCAATTAGGTTGTTTGCTTGCATACATGGGTACCGATTGGCTGTGGTAGAAAGATTGCAAAAATAGCCATAGTTCTCCACTCCTTCCTTTATCAAGTCCTTTTGCTATGCAACTTTTCTCATCAAGAGGTGGGACCCATTTTCCTATTTGCACAGTTTAGATTAAGCTTATCACTTTGGCCTGTAGGATGCAGGGGAAGCCTACACACTTCCATGCTCCCTCTTGGAGCTCTCCTTCCTGCCAGCTGCCATGTGAACAAGCCCAGGATGCTGGAAGATGAGACCATGTGGAGGAAAGGTGAATGTTCTAACTGAGGCCACCTAGCTCCAGTTGTTCTGGAAGCTTCCCATGTTCCCCTGAGTAAACCCAGCCAAAGCCAGAAGAAAAATCTAGCTAAGCCCGGCTCCAACTACTGACCATATGAACTGAAGCCAAATAAGTGGTTGTTGTTTTAAGCTACTAAGCGTCTTGGGAGAGGCAGAAAAGGCTAGCACACTAGCACAGGGCTCCTTGAGAGAAGGGACCAAGGCATTGTATCCCTGAGTGGAACAGTACCTGGCCTATTAT